CTCTCTTTCCCCCCCAAATTCACACATTCACAAGTGCACTTATGCAATATTAAATATTATCTAATGGTATGCAAGTTCTGAATTAGCCAAATCAGTTTTATCTTTACTTGGAAGAGGAGTAACCTTTAAAGGTGACACAAATCCAGTATACTGATCTCATTTTCTGAACTGCAGAATTATATAAAATATGACCATCACAAAAGTGAAAGGAATGTAACATTTCTTTTGTCTAAAAACTTAAAMTTGAATGTAATAAAACACTTACCTTAATTACAAGAGATGTATCAAAATTCTGTGGGGCATCAGCCCCAAAATATGTTTTTTTAAAGTTGAAAAAAAAAAAAAAAGTTAAGGGAGCAGAGGATGTGCATTAGGAACATAAAAGTGCCAATTCCCACTTCTCTTCCAAGTTTAAGATAAAGCTTTGGCTGTAGTTCCCAACCACCAGGTTCTTGGCTGAAATCACTCTCTCATACAACAAATTTAACATTAATCTCCCAAAGACAGACCAAGTCCTAAAATTRAAAGCATGGTTCTGCATAGCATTACCTAGAAGAGAATTTGGTTTTCTAGAAACTGAGAATCTATCACTCTAGTGTAAGAGTGAAATGAGTCAGTTACTGTTATTCTTTGTATTGCAYGTGGTGCAGCAGGTCTGCCAGTCAACTGAGATGACTAAAAAGGTCCAAAGATAAAAATAAAACTATTAAAACAGTGATATTTTGTCAGCTAAAGCAAATTCCAAAGAATTGCCGAAAAGCTAGTTTACTTGGTCTGKTCCACACATCTTTAAAAAACAAAGCAGTACAGAATAATTTATTTGTTAATCGATATTTGTGGGAAATAGGTGAGTATTTTTCACATTTCACAYAAAAGGGGCAACTCAAGGCCACCCATCAAGTCACTGTCAGTGTGTGAAGTAGAAGTAGTTATTGGCTCTCACAAAATTGATACTAGGTTAAAGTAAGTGAAAAAAAATCAAAAAGTTGTTGCAAAATGGTTTAAAAATACTGTAAATTATATGACTTAATCAAAGCAGATTTTTGAAAGAGTTSAATAAAACAAGTCAAATATTTTGGCCTGCTCACAGTGTGGTACCAYCTACACACACTTTCACAGAAATTCCACCCTCCTAGTTGCTCCCAAATTTCAATGGTGTTTTTAAAAATCATATAGTTTTATTTAAGATTAATTTATTGCTGAGAACTAGCTGGTTAACAGTATGAAAGAGGTACTTTTCCTTACATAGGAACATAAGCATCTGAACTTCACAGAAATACCAGCAAAACAGAACAAAACAAAACCTGGGACTTCCTTATATAACTTCAAACCTCCTTATACATTTGCTTTCTCAGCAAAGAATATAGTTGCAAAAGTCAAATCCCATGCTCCTAAGCATAAGCTTCTTTAATAAAAATCAAATTAACAATTTAGGAAGAGTTATGTGTTTCTGCTCCCTCTTGGAAGTTAGGTCCATCTTACATCATTGGTATTTTGGAATCACTTAAATTATTGACCTAAGAAATATTTTTCCACAAGGAACCTTGCACAGGCAAGCCTGGACAGACTGATTTGCAGGAGCTAAGGATCTGGYCTTTGCATATCATAATTAGCATCACAAAACAAAACGGAATTATTCTGTATCTTTTCAAACACACATTGTAATAAGGCGATTTGTGAAGAACAGATCTGACACTGTCAAATCAAGGCCATGTAAACATGTGGGTTGGTTAAGTCAGTTCATACATCAAGGATTTGATACATSCTGAACCATGGTGGTTTCTCTAGAACAAACTGACCTGGCTATTCTTAGGCCCTCAGTAGACACAAAACAAAATAAACATGTTTGCTGAACCACTACAGTGGAAAGTTCAGAACTGAAGTAAAGCAAAATACAGTATTACTGAGAAAATCAAATACATAGTTAGTAACATAGTGTTTATTATATCCACAAATTACAGAGGGTAGGACACTGATTATGTGACATGTTTCAATGCAGGTGGAAAGGGTCGAAAATGACCTAGTAACATGGTGATCCACAGCTTTCAAATGTAAGTTTTAATTCTAATATTGGTATCTTACCTTAAGTGAATCTGGAAACGCTATTTATTACACTGAAAGAATCTTAACTATGACCAATCARCATCTGTGGAATCATTTGAGAGAGAGTAACAGAATCAGTAGCTATAAATAAAAACATGAAAAGTGTCTTTCTCTCTCTTAATCATTAATTACAAAGGGATTCATGCAGGGTTGGAAAAAGGTTTACGCAATTAGGTCAAATTWAGGTTTTTGTATCATCTGCTTCAAAAATAGATTCACAGATTATATATTGATTCAAGAGTTTCTTTCATTTGCATGCCTTGCATACCTCAGTTTTGTATGTGTGGGACAGAYTCATATATATTTTAATACTGAAACTTTCCAGTAAGAGTGGTTCAGTGTGTGTTTGGTCCCTTGAGAAATGTTGGTATCAACACCTACACTATATACACATACGTATATATAATGTGTCATTGTTTCTTATTCCAATATCCCAGACAAGCAGTGAAATTTCAGAAGATCAAACACACATAATATGCATAAAATAAAAGCAGCACATCTATAACAAGGAATGAGAGCAGCTAAAATTAACAGAACATACTCATTTTACTTTCCTTCCTTGTTTTTTAGCGGAAGGTGGCGGTGGAGGTGGCGGAGGAGAGGAAGGAAAATCCAAAACATGTGTAGTTTTGTAATTCTTTGTCTCAGACACTACTCCTGCTACAGAAAAGACATCTAGAAAGAACTTCAATGAGCCCCAGTGGATTTCTGCTTTGCATAGAATAGAATAGATCAATCTCTTGACAATCCTCTTAAACACTTGCCATTTGTTGGAAAYAATTTTTGATGGATTAAAAAATGGTTACAATTAAAAACTGAAAAAATAATGGTGCAAAATGAGTTAACTGTGTGCTCTAGGTATTTTTTCATGTCACTCAAATTATATACAGTATTTTTGTTAAAATATGTAACTTCTACACAGTGTCCATAAAATATAAATTAATGTTATAAATTAATATAAATATAAAATAATGATAGATCTTATATTAAATTACTGAATGAAATCGGACATGTACAATTCAAACCAAAAATTGTGATACTTACAACTTGGATATCTAGATTTTTATATTATGTGTATTTCTTGACTCTGTAATTCTGTAATTTTCTTTCATTCTCAACTTATATAAAGTTCTAGWGTAAAACATCTCTTTCATTTTAGGAATGCACAACAACATTCCATAGCTCTTGTCTATAAAAAGCAGGCCCATGGTACACGGTTATTTTTTTCAACATTACCAATGATAAATCTGTAAATGGTAAGCACTAGCACCTTTTGATCACATGCAAATGGCTTTCCCACAGTTCCCAAACTGACAAGCTTTTATTGTAAAAACCTAAAATGACAGACCATAGACATGATAYTTTACACACAAGAGTTTACTGAGATACCTACACCAGCAAAGCTACAGCAGGATCTGCATTCAAGAGCATTTTAAAAGGCTCACTTACTCCCAATGTATCTCTTTCAAAGTGCAGTAAATTATTTGAAAACCAATTAACTGGCACCAATCTAATCTTCTGAGAGAGAGGAAAGCCAAAGTCAAGCACATCAAAATTCCCATTACCTCACTTTCTACATCCAAAAAGAAAAACTGCACACAAATTGGCTCTTCATAAACACTGATCTCCCTCCCAAAACCTTTGGAACAACAGTCCACTCCATRCCTTCCACTCAGGAAGCCAGCTCCTCTGCGGATGGAGGAAGGTAAATGGCCAGTATGTTATGAGCAGATCTGAGTATTCACTGGAACCAGTTTCAAATCCAAGGAGTTGGATGTCAAATGCAACTCCTGCAACAGATAAATTCAACATGCAGACTCATCCTGCCACTTCTCCTCCCCCTTGAAATAAAGCCGACCCATACTTTTTGTTTTCTTCTGAAGGACTGTCCACATCCACATGGAAGGGAGAATGAGCAATTTGCACAATATAAACCTTTCCAAGAATGCCCTATGAACAGAGATATTGTGTACATTTATCACACAAAAATAAAGGAATCCACAAAAAACTCCAAACACTTACAACATTCTGACTTATAAATGGGCCAAATATTTTATGCAAACAGTTATGACATAAAATTGGATATCATGTTATTTTCTGTAGTAAATGCAGCTACTAAAGAAGACTATTTCAAAGTTTTTTTATAATGGAATTTTATTCAAACTGTGTTAAATTATGTATTTCATATGTATAGTGTAACTTTTTATAACTGTATTTTAAAGACCCAAAAAGAAGTTAGTTATCCAGAACACATACTTACTATACAATACTTGAAGCAATAAATATAGCAACGCATTCAACAAAAGCCCCCTTGGGCAAGTTGCACACGTTTAAGCAGATTGCTGCAGATTGGATTTGACTCTCAGCCAAGCTTGCAAGATGACAGAGAATTAACCTTTAAATCCACCTTCTTACCTAAAGAAGCCTTCATGCAAGGATACGTGTATTTCTTATTCAAGGACGCCCTAAATATGTCCTTGTACTGTCATCTATTATGTRAGTACAAACTGTTTAAAATGTAATTATATTAAGTAATACTTGTAAATAGACTTCTCAACTTATTCATATGAGTGCATATAGTATGTTCATTGCTACMCTACAACCATCTCTGCTGTTACATTTTCCACATCAAATGCTTACTAGAAATACTTCCTATAAGTATATCTACAGTGATAGGCACCTATCAAAAATATATTTTATACAACATAAACTTTCCTCAGATTAACATGAAAACTTATTTTAAAAAAGTTTGACATTTGTATCCAAAGTAATTTTCACCAGACAGAAAAAATATAAGTAGGCATGGCTCCTATTCATATGCAGACTGTTTCTTTGGAAACATGAYTGAATGAATGTTTACAGATGTGTTGCAAGTCGAAGAAGACAAATCCAGTAAGTTTCTCAAGCAATATACATGCTTTATTTGTATATTTAGGATTACACGTGAAAGAAGGATTAACGTTCAATCAACGGAAAGGAGATCAGAAGCCACAGATAACATGAAAGTCACGTACATCTCCGGTAGAAAGCCACATGTTACTTTTGACATCAAAAATTTCAYCAACCAACCAAATTTTTATAAGTGGAATTATAAGACACATCACATTACAGCTAAAACTTGAAAGTCACAAAACCTGAACTATTTAAGGGAATAGGAAAGACATTTCAGRTATGGTTTACTTAATTCAAGTAGAATACATTTTGCCAAAATTTGAGCTTCTCCAATAGCATTTSAAAATACTTACAGAGGCTTATACACAAGTATTAAAGTCTATGTAACCAATAACTTTAAGGCTATTRATTCTCGTTTAATAAATTAGAAATACAAACATATTAAAGTGTATGACTTTAAACTACTCACAGAATCTTACAAAATGCTCCTTTACAAAAATTTGGCAATAACTGGAGTTTGGGATAAAATTAAAGCAGTGAACTTCCATGTTGTAATGTCAATAAACTATATTCTTGTTTGTTTAAGTGTGGGTGCCATGTATCTTTGAAACTGAACTAAAAAAATTMTTTTTCTTGTTTCAAGAGTATGGAGCCTACTAAAAGAAACAGAAGGTTTTCAGATTTAAAGCCTTCTACAAAGACAATCTACCAAAATGGTCCATATGAGTGACTGTAGAAAAGGTATGCTGACAGGTAGAAGTCTCTGGCAAATTATGACTGGATTTTCAGACTTCCTTCTTCATAACTCATGAAGAAAATCAGCCAACATCAATTGCAAGTTTTAGAGAAATAAGTCTTGAAAATACTCATCAAATTCCTCTTCCCTGTAATAACAACAAAAAACAGAAGTCAGACAGTTCTGCTTTGGATTTGTAACTAGGAGATAATCTTTGTACAAAAGTTTCAGCAAACTTCTGATTAGAATTGTAGAAGGTATAGATCATTTTGACTTGCTCACTACATTCAAATACCCTTCACATCTCCCTTTGKGAGCTGACTGTTAGGACTCACTGCTAAGATAATTAATGGTATAGTAGAGGGTAAGGCAGCAGTGGTATACTAGTGGTTTGACAGAGGTTTTCCTCAAGAGTGGTGTATGTCTCCTCTTTAAAAAAAACACTTTTAGGTTCACTACACAGAAAAAGATTTGACATAAGCTTTTATGTCCAAATACTCACTGAAACACACAGGAAAAGTCTGCCTTTGCAGTTCTGAATGGACAATATACACTTCAGCAGCTACTAGCTCACTACACCAAACTAACCGTGATTTTTCACGTGCTTCTCGTGGAGGATGTTTCCTACAGTCAGCCTCTGAAGGACCATCTTCTGCATTGCTGTTATCTGAATCTGTTAAGAAAATTAAAATGCTTATGAAATAGATTTTAAAATAATTTATCTTTTTTTAACTAGATTATATATTTTTTAACTAGATTATATATTGCTAGAAGCATAGTCCAATTGCAACCATGACAATAAAGAAAACATTTTATTTTGCATAAAGTAAATGCAAATGTTGTGCAACATTATTCAATGTAACATCCAAAAGATTCTTAGGTATCATTAACTAATGGTTTGTTCAAACAACGTAGGGGATGAGGACAATCTTAAAAAAGTATAGCAGAGCAATCAGTGGAAACAGTCAATCACTTCCAGACAGTCTGCAGCAAAAATTGGTATAACCAGGATATGGGGCCCGTTTCATGGAAAAAGGAACTGGAGACTGAAATTACTGAGATACAGGGACAACCAGGGACTAAGGAGTCACTGAACACTTCCACCCGCAACAWGTTGATCTCTGAGTTCCTACAGGTGATAGCTGGAAAAGAAGTTAATTAAAGCCTAGGATTTATTTGATTTTTTTTTTTTGAGCAGCATACATATCAGTATAATTCTCTGGAAGAAAATGTAGAAGTTATGGTATCAGAAAATTACTATCTTTACACAGTAGAGACTATASAGCATGAAATTATTAACAATGCACCTATTTTTGCACTTTCGACCCTTTTTTGGAACTGCCTGACCTCTCAAGAGAATTTACATTCTCTTATCTGCCCAYATTTTTATTTTTTGATTAAACAATTTCCTTCTTAAAACTCCCCACACTTTTCTCCAAGATATGTAAGTAAATWATTCGAACCTTCATATTTCTGTTTGCTTTCAGACAGCATTCTTATAAAATATTAAAACAGACAGCTAATAAAAATAAAATCAATGACAACTTTCTATGAAGTCATACAACTTATTACAAAAACATAAAAGATATTAAATGCTTTACCTTTATCAGAAGTGTCTGAATCGTCCGAAGAAACCTCATCTGTAAAGAAACACCAAAAGAGAAAAAAAWAGTAAGCTTCTCTTGGTTTTATCTGTTATCTTTAATTGTTTACAAGGATATTCCTATACAATATTGAAATATATAAATGCATGCACAAACCACATTCAAAGAAAGCAAGCAAACAATGAAATAAAAGGATTTTTTTTTGCGTGAGTACAAAGGTCATCAGTTTGAGCCTAATTATGTCAACCCAAGATCTGTGGTGTAAAAAGTTTATCTAACATTTCCAAAAGGCTTTCAACCCCAAACCCCCGTGGAATTAAATACTTCACAACCCTTTCTGATATACAATATCCAATGCCTGGACAAATTTCCCTTGCAGTGCATACTTTTCAAAAGGCTCTCCCTCTCTGTTAAATATAAGAAATTCATGTTTTTTCTRCATCTAGGAAATTTTACCTAAGAAATTTACCTTTGTGACTATCTGTGTTACAGTCAAGAAAGTTATATCTCTATGTGTAACTAAATGTATTTATCTATAGTTATACATAATTACATGTCTCTATGCACCTATAGCAAAACTAAGATTCAACTAACCTGAGTATTTTAATAACTGAAGTTCTAAAATTTAAATTTACCTTTATGGGTCTTCTTTTTGGACTTCTTTTTTGCTGAACGAGATAATTTTTTCTTCTTGTTTTTTGGCTCTTTAGAGTTCTGTACAGCTTTCTCTCTTTTCTTGTGTGTTTTGACTTCTTTCCTCCTTTAAAAAAGATGAATGTACACCTTCTCTATTATGTGTACTTCTTATGCAACAGTAAATCTGAAGTAYTTAATTCAGTCAAACAGTTGTCATATTTTTCAGACACCTATCAGTAGTTAAACTGAAAAAAATTGTTTCAGTTAAAAAGAAAAGTGCTATAGAAACACACAGTAAGAAAAATAATCACTGGACTGAAATTAAGCAAATTAAAGTTCTGTGGTGGTAAGGATGGAATTGTTCCAGTCTGAGAGATTCTGTGCTGTCATTAGCTGTCATCTTAACCCTCAACAGTGACTTGTCACTAGCTTTATAAGAACTCCAGAGTATTTATGCTATTTCAGCATAAATGAAGCTCCTAATCATCTCACTGAAGTTTTTCCACTATGTGCTGTTCATCATAATTGTAACTTAGCAATAATTCAGTCCCAATTGTTTTCAAAATGTTTCATTACCGGTGATGGAAGTTTAGTTTGTAGGAACATTCTGGACATAGTCCTGAAAAAGAGAAAATGAGAACATTGCATCCAAGAATCTGATAAGCATAATTAGGTAAAGTACAAAACTAGTTAGAACTAGATCTTTCAATATCAGAAGCTTTTCCTTCAAAACACTAGTTACAATGCAATTGCAGTCAGTATTGAAAAAAAAAATGATGAAGTCTTCAGTACAAACCCAGATTTTACTAAATGTGAAAAAAGATTACAAGTTTAGGACTGGCAACTCTTCATTAAAGCAATATCAGTGTTTATCAAGTACAGACATCCCATTTATGGATCCTTGTGGACCGATCAAATTGCTCTGCAATTATACTGAAGACCTGTAAGTCTCTTAGAGCTTTGTCAGAGATCAAGTGCTCCCACATGGAGTGTCTAGTGCACAAAAGTAAAAGAACTCCACTATTCACTCATTTTACACAAAGTAACTGTATAAACTGTGCAACRTTTAATTATTTGAAAAACATATCATAATGTACACAAATACCGAATTGGAAAATCCCAGTCAAGAGGTAAGAACAGAAAAGAAAATGATTTAAAAATAGAACTTTTGTAAGAAAAMACAAATATTTAAAATAAAAACGGTAGAGCTGAAGGTGTACAAGATGATTGGTCCAAAGCCCTAAGGACTTCTAMGCCAAATAACTGAACAAGCAATGACAATGCTGAGATTCTCCTTGCAATGCAGTATTGTCCATAAAAACTAGACATGCTTCTATACAAAACATCTTCTAGTCAATTATTCTAATTTTATGACATGCCAATTATACAGAATGAAGTGCTCAACCTGTAACAACTCTTCATATATAATGACAACAGCCGTTCTCTCTAAATCAAGAGCAACATACTACCATGTRTGATTAATTTAATAAAATTATCTCCCATTCAGCATTTGTCATGAACTCATAGTATTATCACTGCGTCTCACTTGATAGCATTAGAAGTACAAGACAATTGTCTTCTTTTAAGYGTACATATCCTTGAAGGGCTGACTTACTCAATTTCACAAGGGCGTTCCTCTTTTCACCATGTTCAACGTAACCGAAATTCACCTCCCAGCTCTTCAGGCCTTCTGTCTCATCACAGCGCTTATTTCCACAGGAAAACTGACCTGTAAAGAGTCAAAACCAGCAAACCATGGTTCAATGATTAACATGAATAGGTTTGAGGTTGATATTTCCAGTTCTACTCAGTTTTTGCTTTTTGTTTTCCATTTATTTCAAATTAAAAAAMCCACAAATCTAAAAATAACATCTAGATTAAGGAAAAATAACAGGGAACAACAATGCAATCAATCATGTCYGGAATTGCCTATTTGTAAAGAAAAAATATAACTGTGGTTTGAAATGTATGGATGAAGGCATACATATGAAATAATAGGCCTAATACTGAACTCTGAAAAAATGAATGT